GGGCTATTCCCAGGCCCTCTCTCCCCCCACCTCCCTTCGACCCCCAACCCTATCCTCCCTCACCTTCCCTTCCCCTGCCCTCCCCTGCCCTCCCCGCCTTCGCGGGTCCCAGCCCCTGGAGCCGGGAAGAGGAGAGGACCCAGGGGCGGAAGCCGGAGGCCAGCGGGTGGGGGCGACTCCCTGTTGCCTCTGCCTCCCGGGCGGACTCTGAGCTCCCTACCCTGGGGGCCGGAGTGGCTGGGACTGTGCCCCCCGCATGGGGGACCGGGGCTCGGGGACTGACTGCCCTGAGGAAGCCTTCCTCGGCCGGCGTGGCAGAACTCTCTCACACTCAGCCCCGAAACTTCAGTCTCTCCCTGAAGGCCGGACGGAGGGCTCAAGATCGCAGGGGTACCGTGGGACGTGGGGGCGGGGATTCGGGGTTCTAGCTGGGCTGGCGACCCGCGAACCAGGGTCTGCGTCGCACCCCAGTGCGAGTCAAGCCCCTACGAGCGGCCCCTCCTACTTTACAGGTGAGGCGGGGCGGAGGTGTGCCTCAGGTGGCTACCCAGGGTCGCGCAAGCTTTTCTGCGCTGGGGCGAAGCACAAGGTCTCCCTCCTGGGATCCGTGCTGCTTTCCGGGGGATTCCCTGGCCCCGGCCTCCTGCCCTTAGTCCCCAGAGCTGTAACAGTCACAGACACTTGTAATCCAGCGCGGGTGAGGGGTTGAAATCAGCCTTAGAAGCCTGTTGTGCCAGCCGGCAGCCCTCTCCTGGTCCTGCCGGTCCAGCTCCCGCCTCCGCCCCTGGCTCCGCCTAGGCGGGCCTCCAAGAGGCAAGCCCGGCCCGGGGTAAAGAGCTCCAGGCTCGCCTGGCCTCCAGGTCCCAGGGGCACGCACTTGGTGCTGCTAGCTCTGAACCAGACAGGAGAACTGCTGCATCGCGCAGACACCAGGATTTCAACTCCTGGGAATGTTTCTGTTTCCCCAACAGTGAAACAAATGATCTCTTCTCCAACTACACAGGCTTGAATTAATTGATATACTTTGTTTCCAACTTCCCTTCTCTCTGTCACAGGTCATCACTTATGAAACCAGAGAGGCGTGACAACACCTTTAGCCGCCAGCCTGTCAGGAGCAAGGCCCCTGACCCTGGCAGGAATGCAATTGAGTGTGAATGTTCCCCTGACTGGCTGTGGAAGAGAAGTGGTATCGGACACTTATTGGATTAGACACTGATGGCTAGAAATGAATACCAGTAAATGGTAATAGTGACCGAACTAATTGGATTTGAACTACTTTTCCTCAGTAAAATGCTCCAGTTTGGAGTCAGTTAACGCATTTATTTTCCACTTTCTATGCAAATCAACTATCTGCCTTATCTGTCCTGTTCTGTGCCCCAAAGGCCCATGGCCATCATCATTGGATCTTTAACAAAAGAGGTGCCAGCTGCAGGCTGGAAGAGAGGCTGGGGTATTCTCTCCTCCCCATTTGGCCATGCCCTGACTGAGCCTGGCAGTGTCTGTGTCCCTCTATGATGACAATTCCTGTAGGGCTTCCTTATTCATTGTGTCAACTCATGTCAGCCTCCAGGAAGTATAGTTCTCTCCCCCATGCCTCTTAAGGCCTGGGAGTGGTGGTGTCTGCCTCCCACTATTGCTGGTCCTTGGGTAACAGCATCTTTTGATAGGTGGTCAAACCATGACTACACTGTAGCAAATGGTCCTTTCATCATACTCTCTCCCAAATCTCCTCCCAAGAATGTCTTCTGCTTCCTACAAGGACCCTGAGTGCTACAGCCAGATTTTTACCAGCCTCTACCTTGCAAACGGTGACATTTGGATGGGGATGGGAGGACAAAAGCAGATCACACAAGGCCATTGGATAAAGGCTGCATGACTTTCAGGATTGTCTGTTTCGTTCAATGGTAAATGTTAATTTCATATTGTATTATAGTAGACACCGTGGTTACCAGTGTAGCAACCATGCCCTTTTTTTCCTTGCTGGTAAGAAACCTACCTTGGTCTAGGTATCCACCCTCTACATGGCTGGGATAAACTGGTTCATGTAAGCTAATCTTGGTAACTCTTATTTTTCTTCCTGTAATTGGTTTAAAACAAGTGTAAGTCAATGAATCCTGCTACTGGAAAAAGTTTCCTCATTCTTAAAAAGGCACATAAAGAGGAAATGTTCCTTGTTTCCTACTGGATATTGTACATGTGGAATGATGTCTGGGACTTTACAGCCTTCTTGCATCCATGACTGGAGGTAACCTGAAGAGCATCCTTACTCTGGGTACAGAAACATGGAATGATGGGGAGAGCATGGGTCCTTAATGACACCATTGGGCCATTAATCAATCCTGTTGCTGCCCTAACATTGAATTTCAGATCATGAGAGATAATAAATATCCTTATTGAGTTGGATTTTTGTTACTAATGGCTGACAGCACCTTAACTTTAAACCTGTGGAAACAAACCAGTTAAGACTCTTTATTAAAGTAACAGACAATTCTAACTCACCCTGTGAAACAGTTATTTATTTCTGCATAACAAACCACCACAAACTGAGGAGCTTAAACAGTATGAGTGAGTTAGTATTTGTCAGAACTCTTGGTGGAATGGTTCTTCTGCTCCACCTGGTGTTGGCTGGCATTGTTCATGCATCTGCATTGGTGGGATGGGGGGGGGGTGCTCAGCTGGGCCTGGAAGTTTCAGATGGGTTCAGTCTCATGTCTAATGTCTCGGCTAGGTGGATGGGAAGCTGGGACCAGGTTGGCCTCTGTCTTTCTCCATATGATTGCTCATCATTTAGTGGTCTAGTCTGAGCTGCTTTTACAGACAGCTGGACCCCAAGAGGGTGAATGTGGATATGGTACAACCCCTAAAAGCCTGGGATCAGAACAATACTTCTGACACATTTTATTGGGAAAAGTACGTTCCAATGCCAACCCAGATTCAAGGGGACATGGCAGAATAGATTTTACTTCTTGATAGGAGGAGGGCCTTGTACATAAAGGGATGAGAGAACTGTGAGTAATAGCCTTTGGAAATAATCTACCTTAGACAGACTTAAACAATAATGGAATGTGTTGGTGCAGTATTGGAATACGTTGGCAATATTACAGTGAGTTCCAAGTGCAATGACTGCAGGAAACTCCAGGGTCTACATGTTTCTTCATTCACTAGAAGGGGAAAGAGAATCTTCACTGTGATTGGATTAGCTAAGACCTGGCCCATTCCTGGCCAATCAGTCATTAGGCTGGTAGGATGCTATCAGGTGATTGGCTTAGGCCTGGGTTAAGGGCAAAGGCCTGACTAATCCATGTCTAAGGAGAATGGAATGATCTTAATCAGCTTTGGGTTATCAGGACCTACCCCTGACCCAGTAACAGTATGCCTGCTTCACCATGGTAAATTGATGTGATGAATGAGGTGGGAGCAATAGGTAGGATGCAGACCCCACAGCTTAAATCAGCTGGATGCGCAGGGTGTACCCCACTCACACCTCATGAACACTCCTGCTCCCCACTCCTCCCCTTCAACTTGGAGGGGTCTAGGATGGAAACCAGGAGCCTTGGATTCATTGACTTCTAAGTGAAAAGGTCTTTTTGGAAATAAGGGAAGGCCAAAAAGTGAGGCCTTTTTATAAAGACAGTTCAAAACAATTATTGTTACTGGGCCCTTAAATGACAAACCTGAAGCTTAAAACTGATTACTGAAAACAGAGAACAGGAAGGTATGAGTTATTAACATATTTCATTTGCAGGTGGGAGAAAGAGCAAATACCATACATTGGGGGTCTTTGTCTCCTCAGGTAAGCAGTCTTTCTCCGTTAAGCTGCTGAAACATTCTGTACACCTCTCTTGGGTCACTTATTCCTACAGGTCCAGAATTATTTCAGTGCCATCTTCCCATGGACTGGTTCTATAATTCTTCAATGGCAGAAACTCCTACAGGCTACCCTCTCACCTCCCTCATCCCTTTTGTCTGGAATCTTTCCCCTTACCCCTTGTTTGTCTCACAAAATCCTACTCATCTTTTGTAGTCACACTTGAATGTCATCTTTCCCCTACATCTTCCTCAGTTCCCTCCTAGTTATAAATAGTTACTTCCTCCCTTAGCACGCTTAATGGCACCGCTGAGTGTCACTTAATTATTTGTCCAAAACAGTATTTCTAAACCCTGGTTGTCAATTAAAATCACCCAGGGAGATTCCCCCCCCCCAATAGCCAATCCCTGGGTCCCTTACCTCCACCCCAGATATTTTTATTCAGTTGATCTAGAATGGGATCTAGTATTGTTTAAGAGCTCCCAGATGTGGCAAGTTTGGGACCCACTAGTTGAAATGTCTATCTCCCCACTTGATTGTGAACTTGTTGAGGATGACCTCAATTATTGATTCCTTTTTACTCCCTAGGACATAGCACATAGTCCCTTGTACATAATAGGTGCTCAATAAATGGTGAAAGAATTAAATGTACCTAAACTGCTATTTCAGCCACTGAGCATTAATATGGCAGAATAAAAGGAGGGCATAAAGTTTGAGCACATGCAGAGAGGACGGTCAATCCAGAATGGGTACCTGTAACCCTGTAGGAATGCTGCAGGGAGCAAGGTCTTTGGTTCAAAATGTCACCGATGATCTACTTTACCACACTCTGTCAATTCCACTTCTCCTGGAATGTGATGATGAAATGTTTTTCCCACCACACTTGGGAGGAGCTGGTGGGGCAGTGCCATGGAGTTACTTTTGAAAGTCTAGTTTAAAAAATGGAGTAAGTTACATTTGATTATCATTCTTAATCCAAAATATGTAAATAGCATGACTGGCAGTCACAAAGAAACAGCAAGATTTAATCTTCCAGTCGATGTTGGTGTGAGCCCCACCATGACAACGGTCACCAAGTCCTGCGATTCCAGGTCATGCATAGGTTGGATTGGCAGGGGATCTCATGTTTACCATTTTAACATCCATCCTGAGAGACCATGTGTTCTTTGATTCCACATCCTTGAGATTTTTTTCCTCCTCAGTCACTCTGAACCTTTTTCTTCTTAAGGCCTCTTCCTTCAGGTGTTCAGACGCAGGTCAGGAGTCCCCAAATGATCACAGTCTCCAGGTTTTTCCCTCCACAATCAGGTGTTCATTGTACTGACACTGAGGGGGCCCATTTCTTGCCTCACAATGGGTAATCATGCAAAGGGGTTGCTTGCCCCAAAATGACCCTAATCAGGATTAATGTTGCTTCTCAGTTACCATTTTCTCTTATTTTTCAGTGAGAATACACCAAAGGACTCCCTTTCCCACCTTATTTTTTGTTAAAGAGATCAATTCTTTTAATTCCAGTTTTCTACCAGGGAAAAAAACTAAGTTCTGAGATGCTTAAAATTACCAAGAAAGCCATGAAAGCAATTTGTTGTTCTTATTTACTTGAACAGAAGCTTTAACATATTGCTTCTCCCAACAAAGTAAATAAAATCATTGGGTATCTGAAATAGGAGTTGGCCAATAATTAGACATTTAACATTTTTCCAGGTACTTTGCACCTTTGCTCTCAAAGGCCACTTTGACATTGCATAACATCACTTTACTGCATGTTCTATTTATGGACACTTTAGAAAACGAGGAAAATGCTTTCTGTTGTTCCTTTGTTTTTGTTAACAGGAAGATAAAATGGTTTCCCTTAAAATATATTTACTTATAATTTATAAGAATATTTATCACTTTTAACTGGAAATGATCTATTTCTAATCAGAGGCAAAAATATATTAAAATTTTAATAGTTTTGAAGACATAATGCTGAGTGAAATAAGCTAGACACAAAAGGACAAGTACTGTATGATTCCACTGATTGAGGCCCCTAGAAGGGTCACATTCATGGAGACAGGAAGAATAGCAGTGGGGGTGGACTGTTAGTGTTTAGTGGATGCAGTTTTAGTTGGAAAGATAAAAAGGGTTCTGAAGAACTCTCCCACTCAGTGAAAGGTGCTGAAAAGTCAGGTTGGGGTTGAGAAGCACCCAGGGGGAAGATGCTTGGATTCTGGCCCATGGAGGGAGAGGTTCACCCAGCACTGCATCCCCTTAGGCCCAGCTTCCTTACACACCAAACAGTGATGTTGGGGCTGGGCCAGTACTTTGAAAAGTAGAAGACACAGAAATATGACCATGGTTAGTTCCCCAATTTAGGGGAGACCATTAAGAGTGCACCATCAGCATTGCGGAGCAGAGAGAACATCGCTAATTGTCATTATTTGTGTAATTTGACACATACTGAATGCTCGGCAAGTATCTAGTTAACTTTCCTCTCTACTTGGTCCCCTCTAGTGGATGGGGTGCCGGGGGTGGGGTGGGTGGGGGGAAGGGATGCAATAAAACCTGTTTTATTTTCTTGCTGCATCCAGTGGGAGGAGCTCTACATAACCCACACTTCCCCTCTGAAGTTGCACAGAGCTTTCATGTTGCAGTGATAACACAGAGCCCAGCCCTGCCTCACAGACTTAATGCATGCCCTTTTTACTGCCACTGTCCCACCAGGTCACTCCTGTGACCTTTACATCATCACTAGACCTGGCCAACTAGGTGTGACCTTGTCACAGTATCCACCACCATGGACCTTGCTTTGGACCTGCATGGGAGAAGCCCAGGCATGTGCATCTTTAAAAGGCTGACCCCCTGGTTAAGGGCCACTGCGCAGAACAAAACCAGCACACTGCTGCCCAGCACACCCCAACAAGGTCCCAGAATGCATTGATGTCTGGAAAGCATCCTCAAACCTTGGTTCAGCTCTCAAACAGATTCTGAGGCTGCTGCATTAGACTAGAGTCTTCTGTGGGGACGGTATTTGGATTAATCAGAAACAACATTTCAATGGGAAATGGAAGAAGAAAGACATGAATGGTTGGTTTTCTTCTATGTAATTCTGTAGAGGTACATCAAAAGTTTATTTTCTGAATTACAATAAATATTTTGTTTATATAAAAAATGTATTTTAACTTTAACAAAGACAAGCATTTGCATGGCTTTAAAATCAAATAGAATTAGTTTGCTTATAATAATAACCAGACATCCTCCCTTCAACTCCAAATCCTTTTTTGCAGAGGCAACCACAACTCTTTGCTTTTTTTCCCCCTTTATTGCTCCCATATTTCTAAATAATGTGCTTATAATGTAATTTTTTAAATTTTAGAAGGTATCGATTGATTTTCTACTACGGAAGATGAAGTATTTACTCTCCTATACTCCTATGCACACGTTCCCCCGACTATGTTCCCATAGAGTTTTACTACAAGTTTTCATTATCTGTGTATTAATAATATCATATTATTATGATTGGGTAAATATCATGCACACACTACATGCTACTGCTGCATTGTGTTATGTACTTTGGCTGCATCTCCTTTCTTATACAACTTTTTTTCCCTTGAAGGTCACCAGTGCTTCCCTTTTTCATTTTCTTAGTTTTCTATATGCTTATCACTAATGCACAATCAACGTTGACCAAGCTGTAAAACTCCTCTCAAT